TGCGTGCGTGCGTGCGTGCGTGCGTGCGTGCGTGCGTGCGTGCGTGCGTGTGACATTTATCGACGATTTGTTATTGCTAACTTGAAACGTTTCTGCCGATACGCATATAGTAACTAATTGAATGTGTGTTCGTTAAATCGTGAATGATTAACGCCACGAATATGAGTGATGTTTTAGTAAGGGATAATCCGCAATGGCCCCGACATGTACCATGTATATTTATGAAGTTCAGAGTAACAAATTAGGCCTCTGCACAATTACATTTATTATTTATCCAAATATTTATCTAATTGTATAATTCTTAATTGGTAAATAAAAGGCCAATAAATCTGTTTTTATCATTTGCTTGTCATACGCAATTGTAAAATAAATGTCGACAAATAATGTTCGTATATCTATTAGCGAATCAAGAAAATGAAAGAAAAATATTACTAATATTATTATATAATGTAATACAACAATACTACTAATATTGTTATTACTTATCTATTATAACAGGGTATATATTTGGATTCCTACAGGGTAGGAATTTGTATCCTACTAAATTAAATGAATAATTTTCTTATTATAATCCTCCAGATAGCCAAATGAGTCCAAGGTGCTCCTCAATATGCGTGAAATATTGCCCTCACATAAATTCTAAGTTTGATGACAACAAGTTGGTAGCATCTTAGTGGCATTTAAAATATACGTGCCATCAATTTGCAATTATATTGCCGGCACGATACTATACAGGGTGTCCGGCGAGACTATTGCCATAGAGTGTATGTAGATAGAATGGACTAAACTGAGTCGAAAAGTCCTGTACCATTTTGCAATTTTCGCAATAGTTAACGAGATATTAATTATTAAAAATTACCGAATATATATTCGGCAATTTTTGCAATGGTTAACGAGATATTATCTAATTACTAAAAATTACCGAATATTGGTCTTCAATAATTTTTTATTCAAATACTATCAACTTTACAGAAAAAGCAAGAGATAAAAATTGTTTATTTTCTTCTCATAGAGCTCTAAGCATTTTTTCAGAATTTTTTATGAACTTTTTAGTACTGCATTTTCTTATTGGCAACTATTTTTATCAACATGAGGAAATACGATATTAAAAAGCTCTGAAAAATTCTAAAAATTTTATGAAAAGAAAATAAACAATTTTTGTCTCTAACTGTTTCTGTGAAGTTGATAATATTTGAGTAAAAAATTATTGAAAACCAATATTCATCGATTTTTACATTCATGTTGCTAACTTAGTTTGCACATAAGATTCTGATGTCAGCAAATTGACGGCAACTTTATAACAACTCGTGCAATACATTAATTTGTCTAATATGCTAAATCACGCTTGGTTATCTGGGATGCGTACGTGTAATTGGATGAGTACTATTTTTCTTTACGTGGTTAATTGAAATATAAGCAATTTTTATATTTTTATATTTTGTACTAACATAAAAATTCTAAATAAATTTGACATTACTACAATTGCGATTTTGTTTAAAACAAATTTATTGGCATTTGAACACCAACTTTACAATTTACGTGAAAGAATAGAGAAGAACGTTAACGCACATAATTTCCTGCAATTTTTCGATAATCACAAGTAATGGCGTTAAAAATATTCATTAAAGTGTGTGTTCCTCTGTATTCATTATTTTTTCGTATTGCAAAAAATATGTATAGAACTAACAGTAAGAAAAACTCCGAGAGGACTTTGATCTGTAAAATAGACAATATTAAATTTGTTAATTCACGGATTTCTGTTATGTATTATACCTATATTGTCTACACTGCAAAGATAAATTGGGAATATAAGATAATGAAGATAATTGTTTACAATGGCAAATATATCGAATAAACTTTTTTAAAACGTTTAAAGTTTGCGATAAGTTTTTAACAAGAAATTTCCTAAGTGTCAATCTTGCATTGACCCGATGAAAATTTTATTTAAAATAACATAAAATTAAAAGGGCTATAAGCCACGCTAGGTGCTCGTTATACTCCTATCGGGTTGAAACGTCTGTTTTGAATAATAAACATCTTATTTTTATGATTTATATTCGGTCATTCTCAATGTTGTTATAATAATCGTTTTAAAAATAACATAGCTGCGTTCAGCAGAGAAAATTAATCAGTTAGCGCTTAATGCTTCTTTAATACGATTGGTTCCTACACTTAGATTTTGCGAAGACTTAAAGGTGAGAACCAATCATATTAAAAAATCACTAAGCGCTAACTGATTAATTTTCCTGACTGATTAATTTTTCATGACTGGTGAACGCAGTCATTGATTTACAGTTGCCTACGCGCCGGCAGTGGCAGTCGCCTATTCCCTATCTTCAACGATAGAGGTCAAACGGCTCAATGAATCAAGTTGGAGCAATGACAACTTTTCATCAGGATCACATTATCTATAAATTACCAAAGTTTCAGCCAAATCCACCGAGACCCATTTTCTATAAGAAACGTGCGGAGTCCTTTAATAATAATAACGATAACTAATTAGAAATATATACGGGCGGCTCTAGAGTCATCCTTGAGGATGGCTCCCACGTGGATAGCGGCGCGGTTTGAATCCCTGAATCTCAAAATTCCTTTTCATTTCAATTAAATTCAATGTCCGAACTGGACATTGAATTTAATTGAATTCGGCTGAGATTTTCGCTATTGATAGAGCGAAAATACTGCTCACTCCTTCTCTGGCAGAAACATTAATCAGATTCATTAAGCGCTTTGAAAGTCTTTTATAACTTCGCTCTTCTTGAAAAATCTTTTGCAAACGAAAAACTCAGCCCTGATGTTAGAAACTTAGCTCTTAAGATTTCAAATTTATTAAAATCAGGAATTAGAATTCGATTAACGTGGTGCCCGGCACACGTGGGTATCCTGGGAAATGAGGAAGCAGATAAAATAGCGAAGAACGCATCAATTTCGGGCTTTCGTATTCATAACAAACTGTCCTTTGTGGATGTATTACACGCCCTTAATAACGACTATGGTACACTGGACATTGAACACATAAATTCTATAAGTATTGGTACCGAAGCTCATTATATATTAAACTATCGGAATATCGATATCTGTTTTATTAATAAAATTAATCATAGCAGATCGGATCTTGTCTTGGCCATCCGTGTGATATGTGGATATGTCTGCTCCAGATCTCGTCTCTTTGGAATCGGGGTGATTGAATCTCCTGGGTCTTCGTGGCGGTCCCGTCCAGGATTTGAACCATATTTTGTGGGCTTGCCCTTGCATTCGGTCACTGAGCCATAGATTATCTACTTCACTGAGAGACTTAAAATTATTCGAACCTTTTTCAATTGAGTATGTACTTGCAAACTTAAATTACAAAATATACTTAGATACATTATAACATTTCTCACAAAAGCCCAAGAAATCTTAAAAATTAGATTATAAAACAAAAGAAAAAAATTTTCCTTTTGCTGCGTTCTGGTCGGGTTCTCTCCCTTTCTTAGGCCTACTCTGCTGTCTCGCGGGACGCACCGATCCTCTCCTTAAAAGCTTCTTCAAAGCATGATACTGGACCTCATCTTAAGAGGGTCGAAATCCAGTGGGTCGAAGAAGAAGAAAAAGAATTGACCAATTAGATTAATTCCGGAATTGGTGAGATCGGTCCTCAAATCCCGATTGGAGTGATATTTTTACAATATTAAGATATTAATTAGTACACCATCATTAAAGTACTTGTCAATTTAATTAGTGATATTGCGTGTTCCAGTTTCCGTTTAAGAGTGTGTTTCAAGACCGACAAATAATCATTACTTGAACTGGAAATTGTAAGATTCAAGCAAAAATGTTATATTAAAAAAACATTTGTTTTGATCAAATATGCCTTCTTCGCTTATCTGTTTTTCATAATTTTGTTGTTACATAAAAAAAGAATCATCGAAGAAAAAAATACATAGACGATAAAAAAAACAGATAAACCACAAGAAATATTTAAAATGATAACTTTAGTAACATGATAGAGCTTACATAATTTTTCATTTAAGCGTGATAGTTATTAAAATTCATTAGAAGAAATAATTACAAAATGCTTAAATATGGCTTTATAATTGCTTACGCTACTGAATACCTAAATACGTGCAGTCTCATTTGCTTATATTATTCAACTAATATTTATAAGATTCTTCTCATTTAAAGTTTGATTTATTCATATCGGACTAATAGTCGCTTTATATTGTTTATCTTACACTTCCTTGAAACATGACTTTTCTTCTAGTTATTGGTTATTGCGAAGAATATTACTAAGACCTCGGTACTCTAAGGACACCTGCTAGTCTGAAGACACTCATCTGGCAAGAGGGAGATCCGGGTTTGATTCCCAGCCAAAATAATATTTTTCGTAATAAATTATTCGCAGTTTTTAAACTTCATCAACATATAACAATTAATATTCTTGTTATAAAGATGCTTATTAGCATGAAAAAATTATTAAATTGCTTGTATAATTTAATAAGTGATATTACTATTCTGATTCTGCTCATAAGTGAGGAGGCGGTGTCCCCTCCTCACCCGGATCAGGAGGTCGGCCCGAACAATGGGCACCCGGGAGTCTAAGTCCAATAGACTCTCGGGGGAAAGTGCCGGTTATGGCCGGCGGGTCTGGGGGAGCACTGGAAGAATGCTGCACGTGTCCCCAGTGCTTCCTCAATTAAGGAAAGGACCCAAGGAAGGACACCAGCAGAAGTTATAATGGACGAGAGTCCCACATAACCTCCGGAGCCGTTCCCAGGGGTTCGGGAATATGCATAAAAAAAGGTTCTGCTCATAAAGGCGTTTTAAGTCCGAAAAACTATTTCGGCACACGATGTGCAGAATCAGAATGTATTGTATATAAATTCACGCAAGAAATGTGTATTTAAGCGCTAAAATCCGTTTTGACCAAATATAGGGTTCTTATTTAAAAAATATGATTTATATACTCTCTTATATTTACACGTTAAATAAAATAAACACGGAATCAAATTTCATAAAAAGAACTGGATTGGATAACGAGTATTAAAATAATGTTTCCTTCATTGTTTTAAGAAATCGATGTCACCTGTCATGTTCCCCAATTCGCTGAACATTTGATCAAGATGCTGGAATAAGAAAGCGGATATCAAACGTATGCAAAATATTATCGAGATTTTTAAAAACCTATACTACTGTTCATAAATTCGGAAACGCTTGCGATTTTCTTGCATTTTACAAAAACTTAAATAACACGGTGAAACACACAAATCGTAGAGAAGTTTTTAAAAATGTATTTAAAAAGGAAGAATAGAGCTTCAAAGTGACGTTTTGTCTCTATATTTTGTTCCTAAATTACATAAAATTAAAAATTAATTTTTTTTTTCAATATTTTTGTTACTTTTTGAAGCGCTCTACTTGGATGGAACATCATCGGACAAAATTTAACAGGCAAGCATTTTAAAGCTTAGAAAGTCTATTTCAAAATGTTTGTCTATTAAATTTTATCCAATAATGATCCAGATAGAGCGTTTTAAAGAATAACAAAAATATTGAAAAAAAATATCAATTTCCAATTTTATGTAATTTAGGAAATATGCATATAATATTTATTAATCGATTACACTTAACCGTCAATCGCGCGATCTCCGCGATGACAGCCGCTCACGAAGTAAGCGCAGCGAGAGTACCAATCGACACGACATCCGCTCACGACACGAATTTTATTGTAGGATATTAAACACACATTTTTACGTCAATTTGTGTACGAAAACTTTTGTGCACCAGTTCGCACTGAATGTATCCAGTCGAATTCGCTAATAGAAACAAAATTCGAATGCCAATTTAAAGCTCTATTTTTCCTCTTTAAAATGCATCTTTAAAAGCTTCTATATAATTTCTTTTCACCAAATTACTTAAGTTTTTGTGAAATGTGAGAAAATGCAAGCGTTTCCGAATTTATAAACGATAATGTAACTAGTGCACTACACTTACGTCTGATGGTTCTTCGTTATCTTGTGCTTCCAATGGTTTAGTCCTAGATGCTATATTTCCATCATCGTCGATATCTTCATCATCTTCAAAATCTTCTGCATCATTATCTTCATCATCATCAGTATCATCCGGCTCCTCGATATCGTCATCGTCATCAGCATCGTCATCGTCATCATCATCATCATCATCTATGATGAAATCCATTTCATCGTAATCTACGGGTTCCTCTTTAATTTGTGTAAGCATTTTCGTTTCCTCAATAGCTGTCTCGGCTGGACATGGTAGGGGAGCTTTTGATGCTGAAGATATTTGAAGGAACTGTGACGTCTACAGGAAAATAAAAGTATTGTTAGCTTTTTAGAAAACGGTATACATCAATCATACAAAACTGTATAGTTTCAGAGTTTATAATATCTTAAGCGCATTTCAAGTTTATATAATATGTCAAAACATTTCAAAACTTTATATAATATAAAATAGGGATGCATCGGATATCAGAAAGATATTCGGCATTACTCGGCATTATTTTCGGCCAAATAGCCGAATATCATTAGTATCCGGTAATATATAGTACATATCTCATTGAAATTTTATATATGCAGAGCTGGACATGTATTTGAAACACTTTTATTTGAAAAACAGTATTGGTAAGACAAATATATTTTATACTTTGTGTTTGTTCGGAGTACATGAAAATATTTTGTATTTCATAGGAGCACATAAAAGTGTTTTGTACTTCGATATTAATAACAAAAGATTGAAAGTATTTTGTATTTTGTATTTCAAATACTAACATTGACAATTAACCTTATTATTTCAATTATAAAGTATAAAAATCTTTCAACCTTTCGATTTTAAATACAAAAATACGTAATACTTTTATGTGATTCGCTGAAATAAAAAATACAAAATACGCTTGTATTGCAAATAGTGTGTTTTAAATAAAAGTATTTTTCAAATACATGCCTAGTATATATGTTACTTTGATCAAAGTAACATACTCAAACTGAAAGTTCAATCATGTCATATCAGCAATAGGATTTACAGATGTTTTATAAAATATATTCCAAATGATATTAGTGATATAATTTATGATAACATTTAGCTGCTGACTTATTTTAAAGGTGGTCAAACATTCAGATCATATAAAAAATGCAATTTTTAAAAATTCTCGATTTTTTGAAAAACAAAATTTTGAGCCAAGATTGACAAAAAAATTCTTATTCTAATCTTTCTGATACTCTTTATATTCATGATTTTTTTTTATAAAGATCCGTTTAGATTTAACGGAGAAAAAAAAATACTAATGAAAAATCACATTTTTTTTCGATATCTCAAAATGGTGTGGCTCTTTTAGGATAAAATTTCGTACAAAATATTCTTTCATCTGGGTGTCCATTTTGCTCCTTGTGGTGATAGATTATGTGCAGGGCCCAAAATCTCCTGCAATATCCTTTGTTTATTAATTATATAAAGTTTTCAAAACTCTCTTAGGAATTTGTATCGTATGTACAATTGCAACACAACAATATACAACATAATGATATTAATCTATTACCCAAGATTGTCGTTGTTCTTCTTGTGCCATCGTAGCAGACGTGTCGATGTCCGACGGAGTTAATAACTCAGATAAATGAGAGCTTATATTTTCTTGAACTTGCGAGGCTAGTTTTCTTTGTGCTTTATTAGAATTATCTTGTAATCCATTTTCGACACTACCCATATTTTGATTTGCCGATGGTTTATTCGCGCGATTAATTTTATCTTCCTTTGTTTCATTAATGTTACTTTCTTCCTCTTTCAAATCGTTAATATTGATATCAAATTCAATATGACTCATGTTTCGTTTCTTTTCCATTAGTGTAGCATTATTTGGTTCTTCTTTAACTTTCTTAATGTCAGGCTTAGGTTCTTCGGGAAGACAAGTATTACCTCTTTTCCGTCTAAATCTAATATTAATATTCCTCTTATCCCATATTAAACCATATGCTTGTTTGTAATCCGATATTGCATCGTCCACACTATTATATCTCATTAAAATATTTCTGTAATAAAACGTCGGGATAATATTACAGTACAAAATCATAAAACCTAACGATCGTACTATTTGTATAGTAAATAGTTAACATACACACCCGCACGCGCACGCGCGCGCGCACGCACGATATCTATTAACTCACCGCGTATTCTTCATCTTTCGTGTTTCTTCATCTTGTGCTTTTGGAAATTTACTTTTTATTTCGCTTGTTTTAACAGATTCGGGTAAATTTCCTATAAATAAGGTATAGGGATCTATTTCTTCGGGATTATCTTCATCTCTTAATATCTTTTTTTCGACTTTCAGGTATCCCAGACCAAACTTAATTTTTTCCAATTCTTTTATAGCTTCGTCAATATTCACATCTTCCGCCATTTGAATAAAACAATATCTCGACCCACATGGATTTTGAAAATGTATGTTCAGAATATCAGAATGAAATTTACTAACGATGTTCTTATCTAGATCTGTATCAGGAAACTTAATTATTAAGCTCTGTGCATTAACTTTATTCTTCATATTGTATTCACTTTCAATTTTTAGAGCTCTTTCTGCATCTTCTCTATTCCATGGTTTATTTACATAACTTTGAGACATTGGCTTCCTTTGTTTATTTTTCTTTACTACCTTCTCCTGAAAAATTTAGTCGTTAGGTAAGTTTGTAACAAACATATTATTTCAAATTATTTTTTCTTTAAACTGTTTAAAATATGTTCTCCAGTACAATTTTCACATCCTGATCCTCAGTTTCTTCATTATGTCTGTTGCTCATGATTCCTGATGGGATAGGAGATATGGAATGGGAAGATAAAGGAACAGTCATATGGCTTCTTATACTATCACTCGCTGCTGCATTATAAATATTTCTTTGCCATTGCAATCCGAGATTACCCGTTAAAGTTGCACCAAAATATGCAGCTTGATCAAATTGACCTTGTGGCTGTCCAAACCGTACTACCCGTCTATTTTTACGGTGAAAATTATTTCTGTGAATATACATACTGTTCCTATTGTGAGTAAACCTTTCGCGACGTACATAATTACCCCTTAGTGGAATCTCCCTTGGAATTGTACTAGCGATATCATGTGGAGGAGCTGGAGGAGTTGGCAAAGGGGACGTTTGTGGTGTTATCCATTGCCAAGGAGTATGTGCATGTGTCCATTGAATAGGAGTCATTTGGGAAGGCACTGGTCCAAATACATGTGGCGGAGGTGGGACTCCACTGGGTGGTGGAGGCATAGGAGGCAAGGGTGGTTGCCCAGGCAAAGGTTGAGTGATAGTAGAGGATGATGACGACGAATAACTAGCGTACGAAGAAGCATCATATCCAAAGTTGATTGACTCTTGTTTAAAAAAAGCCCGTTTGGTCTCACTGTTTTCCTCAGATATCTGAAAATCAAGAAAGTATAAATTAAAACGGAGTGCACAAACTGTGATTCATAAATCTTACAACATGTACCATCACGCACTGTTTCGTCGAAATGGTATTCATTTTCTCACATGAACAACGTCGGTACAATCGCGTATGTAAATATTATTTGGTACAGACAAATTAACCTAGAGCGAAGTAGAATTGTCGAGAAAAAAATCGCAGTGCATTCTATTATCGCACTAGAAACGGAAAAGAGGAAGTAGCTTTAACATTACCGCGCGTTTCATACTGCCAGATTCAATGTGACTCGCCTTACGAGGTAGAAGTATTTCCTGAAACAAAATGTAAATAGATCATGGGGGGTATGAGAATGAATGACAAGGATAGCCACTAGGCACTGGTACTACTAGACATTGGGTGCGTTCAGCAGAACGTTTGTTTTGCAACTGTTGTAAGTTTCCTTCGCGCTAATTGGATCATACTTTTAGATCTAGAAGAATGGTCCTATCTCAGCAGACAATCATAAAACGGTTGTAAAACTGTTGAGTCTGCTGAACGCAGCCATTGGCTGCGTTCAGCAGAGAAAGCAGCTTTGCAACTGTTGTAAAATTCTTCAATA